ACCATATGTTGGAAGGCTTTCACAAGTTTAGGAACTTCTCAAGAGTGCATAGGGTACACCCACGTGTATCAAGAAAAGTCATAAATGAAAGATATGAAGTATATGTAACCATTCTCCATTGGAGTATCTGATCTTTTATTGCATAATAGAAATGAAGTTCTACAATGTTTGCTTAACTAACACACTTGACACTGAAAATCATTAACTGACACAAACTTAAACAATTCCGGAAACAAGTACTTTAAAGACTCAAAGAACATATGACACAAACAATTGTGCCACAAAGTAACCGGACTTTTATTTGACTGACTCAAAGACTTTGAGGCCACAAGACCAACTTTATTCTCCAGCACATAGAGACCATTCACTATGTTCCCATTACCAATCGTCCTCCCAGAGGCCAAATCCTAAAAGACACAAGATTGAGGAAAAAAGGTCACTGAAAAGTTCAAAGAGTGTTTAATGCTACTAATAGATAGCAAATTAATAGGCAATTTTGGAACATGTAAAACATTTGATAAAGGTAAGCCAAATGACAGATATATAAATCCTCGACCAGCAATGGAGGAGAAGGATCCATTGGCTAACCTCACTTTATCTTTGCCAGAAAGAAGGGTGTATGATTGGAAAAAAGTTGACTAAACAGTCATGTGATTGGAAGCACCATAATCAATAATCCATAGAGATCCAGAGGTATCAGAAGACACATGGAATGTAAAAGCTAAGTTACCTAAGGTACAAAAGAGGTTGAAGGAGTAGGTCCAGAATCTGCTTGTGTGAGTCCAAATGGTCACGGAAAGCAGAGATAATATTTTCCTTGAGATCAAACCTAGGGGCAATCCTGAGGTAGTTCCTCCACTCTACGACTCATGAGAGGCCAAGTTAGCCGAGGTGAACCTCTTCTGATTTGGTTTCTTGTTCTGTTCTTGAGCTGATTTCTTATTTAGGTCTTGTGCCCACTTCAGCTTTCCATGCAATTCCCAACTTATCGCCCGTGTGTGTCAGGATCTCTGACAATGAATGTGCACCACAATTTATCTTTATCATCAACCCTTTTCTGACCATCTCCCTTTCTTGTTGAATTGGTATTACTTCTTGTAGCTAAAATAATGGTCTCCCCCTTGGGGGGAGTCATGGCAGATTTTCTACTTTCCTTGGATTGAACTAGAGCATACACCTCTTGGACAAAAGGAAGGTCCTCACTGCCCAAAATTTGAACTCGAATGGGTTCATACATAGGATTAAGCCCTAACAAAAAAGCAAAAACCCGCTGCTGTGACACTAAATGTTTGTAAGCTTTGGCATCCTTTTCACTCTCCCAGTCAATGTTCTGATAGTAATCTAACTCTTTCTAGATAGATGTAAGGGTAGAGTAGTAGGTGGATAAGCTTCTTTCCCCTTGTTTACATGTTGCAAACTCAGCTTGCAATTGATAGATTCTAGCATAGTGTCTCTACTCGAAGTAAGTTGACCTTGCTTGCTCCCATATTTCCTTGGTTGTCCCACATAAAATTCTACTTAACTGACGGTAGCATAGTAGTCAAAAGCCATGACATAATCATGCAGTTTTCCTCGTCCCACTTATCATATTCAGCAATACCAGTCCTATGTTCCTTCACTTTTCCATTGATATACCCTGCCTTACCCCGGGCTGTGATGTACAGTTGCATCTCCTTAGACCATGTCAAATAACTCTTGCCATCTAAGGGAGTAATGGTCGTTGGAAAGTTCATAGAGCCAAGACTGTTGGTCATGCCTCCTTGGTTAAAAAAAAACGAGGTTCCGGAAGTTGCAGAGTCTTCAGAGGCCATAACAAAGGCTGCTAACAGAAGTTTCAGACCTACAGCCCTTCCCCTGCAGTCCACACACTCACAAACACACAACCCCCACTGTAAGATTTAAGGTCAATTCGCAGTCACAGTAACACAGCACCTGCTGTTACAGATTTACAAGTCTAACTAACCTCACAAGGGTTTCAGTCACAGTAACGCAGTACCTGTTGTCACAGATTTACAGGTCTAATTGACCTCACAAGGGCTAGTTTAAGCCACACATAACATCTACAATTCTGCTGATGTATTTCTTCATATAAACCAGGTCACACATGACCTACACAGGTTCTTCACCCACACAGTTTTGGATCACCAACCCACAGAAGTCATTAAACACGCCTACACCATTGGTCAAGGGCAGATTTTAGGATGTTCTTGGTAACAATACCAAGAGCCAATGATAAAAATCACTTCAGTCTAGGTTCCTGATCAGTTGAACTGATTTTGGAAGTTACATTCCAAAGAAGAATGGGAGAGAAGAAGGAAAAAACAACCACCGACCTATAGAAAAACTCAATCAATCATCCGTCAATCTCTGAGTGTGATTTTCTTTTCAGTTTCTGTTTAAAAAACAATAGAATAGGGTCCAGCAACAGTTCTCAATGCAAGGTCAAACTAGATTTCCCATTCTCAATCCAGGTATGTGATTGGTAAGATCTTCGATCAGATGAAACACCTTTTACAGAGTGTTGTCATGCTCTGATACCATGATTTTGATCAAGAGAAGATTGAGATCAAAAGGTATAGCTGGCAGCGCCAGACTTAGTATTTATATGTTAGGGCAACAACATAAGAAATAAAAATAAATAAAAAAGGCAAAAGTGCCCTTGTGGCACATAATTAAGATTACATCAAATTTTAATAGTCAATTTTAGTATTTATTGACAAACATCCACCAAGAGGAAGATCTTCACTTACGAATAAAAAAGCATATGATCGTAACATGTAAATAGAATAGGGTGTACTGGTGGACTTATGGTCATTATGAACTAGTGACCCAAGTTAACACCTTTCTATTATCTAGGGATGCAAACGAATCGGATCGGATTCAAATCGGGGTATATCCAAATCCAACCTGACATTACAAACATATGATCTGATCCGTTCGGACTCACAAGCACAGATTCAAATTCGTTGATAATGTCAGATATCTGAATATGATCCAATCCAATTTAATTTCTGGAAATTTTAAAATATATACATATAATTATATAAAGAAAAAAAAACAAAAATTACAAGTATTTTCTTCTATTATTTTCGTCATGTATTTTTATAAAAAAATAAATAATATAAAAAATTACAAAAAATTCAATATAAACATATTTATAAATAAATAAACAACATATATAAATAAATAAACAGCATATATGTATATCAGATTGGATCGGATCTTTTTTGGATCAGATAGGGGCTGATTCGAATTCGATCCAATTTTCAATCGGATCCTATCATCCGATCCGATCCAATCCGACATGAGTATATCCGAATCCAACAAAATTGGATTGGGTTCTGGATCGGATCATGATCCAACCCATTTGCACCCCTACATATTATCTACTTATAGTTTTTATACCCAAAATTATATGTGCTAGAATGGCACCCCAAATTCCAATTTGAAAACTTGCTTTAAATGTAGTAGATAACTAGAAAGAGTAATGAGAGAAAGAGGGAGTAATTAATAAGAAATGTTAAAATGAGGCAAATTTAAATTTAAAAAGTCCTAAATATAGGAGTCATTAAATAGACGAAGTGGGGTTAAATTTGAAAAGTCTTAAATATAGGAGTTATTAGAGGGAGGGAGAGGTTTAAATTCATTATGTATCAGCCCACATCATGTCCATATTGGCCAATATAGATTAAAAGGAACACCGAACACAACACAATTTCCATGCATTCCACTTATCAAATCCCTGTCAAAAGATCCATAATATTGGTCTCCCTCTATCCCTCTTTGATGATAAAAATCTCTTGCCAGCTAATTTATCTGTATAAACTAAATACAAGAACCAAACCCTCATCATCCTAACAACAATTGGAGAGCACCTTAACAATTTTCACTACAAAAGGCAAAAGAAAACAATATCTTTAAACTTTACATTACAAGCTCCAACGTTTTATAATTCAACTATAGAAAATTACACTGTTGAAAGTCCAAATGCCAGGTTTCATATCCAGAAATGCTCATATCAAATACCCAGTTAATCACCCATAAAACTCGTGCATGAAATTGTTATTGGACAATGAAAAGCCAACAAATAACTGGCTGGACAGTGTAATTTATCCCATCATCTAGCTCCATGCATTGATTAACTGCACCCAATCTATAATTCGCACACGGAGATCTTGGCCAGACACACTAGGACCTTAAGGCAATAATTGGAAATGCTCCCATGAAGAACGTTTCTGGTGGTCCAAGAACAAAAATCAACTATTTATGCTCTCGGAAACACCATAAAATGTTTGATCTGAACATACGAAACATTGCCAGAGTTTACTCCTTTACTATCATGAGAATGCACCCAATATATATTCTAAAAAAGAAGCTCTAATATAACATACCAACTAAGTACGAAAAAACTACAGAAAATGATCGCCTACAAGCCGGAATTGCATTACAAACAAATTTTCAAAATCGCTGAAAATGCTTGGGAAAAACAAACTACCAAAACCTCGATTTTTATCCAAAAACCAATCCAGCATCAGGAAACATAATACTACTAGCAATCATGCATTAAAGCCCTGCAGCGAACTATTTCTAGACCAAGAAACCATTAAATTTGACGTAACATAAACACCAGATGACGAAATAAAGAACAACGATTAAGAACGCATAAGGATCAAAGACAACAAATTAAGTTAGTCAGGTTTTGGGTTGTATTACTCGATCAGAACCCAAAACCTAACACACTTCCACAGAGAGCTAGCTAACTTTCATCATCATTCCAGAACCACAGAAACCCTGAAAATTCTTGCAATCGCGCATCAAAACCCTAATAAAAGCAATCCGTAAATCCAAAACACAATAAATACCAACCCAGCCCACCAGAAAAGAAACGAAAAAAACACCAAACTAAAGAACGGCAAGAGATCAATCGTAGGTGATGCAGAAGAATTTGGAATAAATTTAATTAATAAGAAAGAACATAAAAAGGAAAGAAGATGACTGACCTCCTTGCTGTGGTTTCGATTCCATAAGGATGCAAGACGAGCGACATGAAACCGAGGACTTTTCTCGATATCTCTCAGAAGTAGCGGAGGCCAGCTTTTATCCCACACGGAGGATTTGTCTTTGGCTTCTCGATGCTTAAACTACTAAAATACCCCCGCGGCTTTCGTTATCGGAAAGGATTTAAATGTGACTCGCTTGTTCGGTAGTCTCCTCATCTGATCACAGATCCGACGGCCGTAATTTTGGTAATGGTTAGTTGATACGGAGATAAAATAAGAAAAAATCTATTACGCCGAAAAGACATGATACCGGAGTAACTTTGACCGATCAAACCCCGTGAATTTTGATGAAATCCACCTGATTGCTTTTCACTTTCGGTAGATTGGTTACAAGTCTTTATGGTATCATGCCTCTCGGCAATAGCGCCCGGGGTGGGCCCTATATGAAGTGCTTTAAGTCGGTGTTCGGCTGTTTAGAACGAATGTAATAACGACGAAAACCGAACTCGGAGAGAGGACCTGACGGCCTGTAGTTTCCATCTCTCACATGTGAAGAATTGGGAGACTAACAAAGAGTTTGATTAAACAATAGCTTCTATGTGCATGCGTATCAATAATATATGTATATTAAAAGAGTTTTTAGCTTTTTTCCTTTATGTTTATCCCTCTTCCTCTTTCCTCTTTCATTTTTCCATCCCTCTTTCCTTTATATTTTATCTCTTTAATATCCCTTTATAAAATTATTCTTAAAATCTTTCCCTACTAAAATTTAATATAATCTAGCTAAGTGGCATCATTATCTCCCACTTTCTATTAAATTATCTATAATTCCTATTTATTTTCTAAATTATATACAATTCCTAATTATCTTCTAAGCTATCTTTAATTTAATAGATAGCTCATAAATTATCTCTAATTCCTATTAAAATATTTATTATAATGAAATCATGTAATAACATTAAAATATTTATTAAAAACACAAAAAAAAATTATCATAGATTTAAAAATATTTATATTATTAATAATTTTATACTTTTATGAAATTCATAAGGAAATTATGTACTACCGATATAAATTATAATTTTATGAATTGTTCAATTTAAATAAAATATATTATTTCAGAATTTCAATAACTGAATATTATAAATAACAAAATATTAAAAATAGCTAAGTATTGTATAACAAAATATTTAATATTATATGATAACTTTAAAATAAATAAAATTTAAATAATGAAATAAATATTTTACATTTTATTTAAATATTTAAATAACGAAATATTTAACATAACTAAATTTTAAATATTTACAAAAACAAAATTCTATGATAAACTTAAAAATTTTATTAAAAGTAGAAAACCGCATAATATATTTCATAATATTTAAATTAGTAATAATTTTGTATTCATAATTTTATGGATTGTGAAATTCAATAAATAAGTAATATTGAAAAAACTAAATAATGATATTATTTTAATAGATAAATCATATTGTAAATAACTAATTTTAAATATTAAAAAAATAATAACTAAATGATATTTTAAATATTATTTAAAAGCAAATAAAATTAGAGGTATTAAGTATTTGAGATTAATAGATTTATTAATTATTGAAATATTATTTAAAAACAAATACCTAATTTTATATACTAATTATTTATTAATTATTGAAATTAGAGGTATTAATTATTGGACACAAAATTAATTATAATAGTTTTAAAAACTTTGAGATATTAATTATTGAAATAGTAAAAGTAGATTAAGTAATTTAGAGGTATTGAAGCTTTATTAATTATTTATTATATTTTCACTATAATTTTCAATAGTTAATAGAGATTAAACTATTGTTATATGTCAGCGATTAGACTAATGATTTATCTGAATATAGGAGTGTTCACTATGCGGCTTTATTCGGTTACAAATTGTTTGGCCAATGAGGCCAATATGGTCAGATCAGAGACTTGGTCACTCAAAACTAACCAACCATTAATGAAAATCAACCAACTCAAATTATATCAGTCAATATTTTAAAACCAACCCAAAGGCCGACTCACTTTTGCTTCTGGGTCATAGTCATCGATTCAACCATCATGATCAAACAAGTTAGACCATTCCACATCATCACTCTATATATTTATATACATATATAAATGTGCATATATGTATATGCGTGCAAATTCATATATTGTCAATAAATAGTGTATAATTATGTTTTACATATAATATATGTATTATTTTATATTTTATTTATTTTTATTTTTTATTTATAAAAAAATATTAAAATTTGTGATTTGAATACAAAAAAGGGTTTTTTTTTGCATAAATAGCAAGGTAAGGTACCCACGACACCTTAGGACGCATAGACCTTAAAAACTTACCCAATATAAAAAAAATAAAAAAAATGATCACCTCAATTGGACATCGGAGTGCAAAAGTTATGGCCTCCGAAAGTTTGCACATGCATAAAGTATGCAACCTATAACCTAATGACTGGGTTGAATGGGTCAACAGTTGAACCCTCCAAATCGGGTGATTTTTTTACAAGTCAATGGTTTTTGACCGAAGGGTGGATTTTAATAGAACTAGACCCATAATCAAGGTTGGGTGATGGTTTAAACAGTTCAACTAGTCGAGTCAATGGCATGTTGAAAACAATGGTATTGGTTGGGTCGAGTTTCAATTTGGTTGGTCGGTTCAAAAGATCTAAACTTAAAAATCAAATTGCATTTAAAAGAATGAATTTAAAAATTTAAGTTTACAATATAAAGTATTTTACAGGAATTTTCCCACTTTCATGTAGTAAAAAATTATATTTGAAATATAAAATATTAATATATATTTATAATTTGGTCAATTTAGAAATGGCCAAATCAAAACTAATATGACTTGGTCAGGTTGGGAAATTGCTGAACAAGCCGATCGGAAATACTAGAAAGTGACCAACTTGGGGCGAGTTGGGTAATTAGTTTGGTCAATTTGATGAACATCGCTAAATGAAATTAATTATTGTTATATTTGTATTGCAAAAAAAAATAAAAATAGTATATAAAACATAAATTATTATTAATTATTTAAAAATTAAATTGTAAAACAATTGTCTACTCTCATGTATTTCTATTATTTAACTTTTGCTTAACAAAATTCGTGCATCGCATGGGTCCCTGCTAGTATGTAACTATTCATCAATTCCAAATTATCTTAACTGATTAAAAAGGCTCTAAATTATCTTATAGGTGGCATTTTGGGTGTCCAAGTGGACATTTTTGAAATTCATTTCAATTTGTCATAATGTGTACAATGTACACTTGTTGGTCTTTTTTGTATATTGTCTTTGTTAATTAAAGAATAAAAAAACCTATTTAGAAACCTCACTCAATAGTTTAACATTTTAGATTGAATAGTTCCTTCAAATGGTATTAAAGTCTATTTGACCAACTTACAAATGGGTCATTTTGGGTTAATTAGCTTAACCATTTGGTCTATACTAGTGCTCTAAAACTTTGTTTCTTGATGTCCATATTCATCAAATAGCATAATCTTAATTATATAATGCCTTGTAGATGTATCCTAAGCAAAAGATTCCAAATCTTTTAACAGGAATGGTTTTGATCCCAACTCGAATTTTGTAAAACAATAAATATACTTGAGGTATCTTGAATATAAGAGTGTTTTATATATTTCTCCATTTTAGTATTCACGTGGTAGTTAAAAATAGGTACAATGTGTCTTGACAACAAGCACTTTTGTTCCAATTGAAATGAAATGAACAGAGTAACCTATCAAATCCCCAAAGCTAGACATTGGAGTCCATGCTTAGATTCAACTGAATTGGGTTTGTATTGATAGCAAACTATATGTGTACACTAACCACCGAACTTCAATGTTGAGGATTCTATGGATTTGCACATACCATGTAATTTTTGGATTCAAGTGGTAGGGATGAAAGGAAACTTTTCTTCTTGTTACTTAAAGGGCTAAAAATCCAATAATATTTAATTTAGATATTTCAAGTTTTTTACTTTATTACTTTTACTTTTTAAACTTCTTTATTAAGAAGCCAATTGGACATGAAAGAATGTAAAGTTGAAACTTATCCCATTAAAAGAGGCACATGACAAAGGGCCCCAAGTATTTATTAATCTATGGTCTACTATTTGATATGAATTGTAGATTACTTTTCATTCCAATATGTATTTCTACTTAAATAGTTCTTAACATAATTGTCAAGGTGACACCTAGGAAACAAGATGTCTTTTGAGGCTCGTCTCTCCCAATCGTCAAGCAGTTGTGTACTTTATATTATAAAATACTTTTTTATTCTTTATTTTTTGACATTATAATTATAAAATAGGCATTATTAAACTAAAATATTCATTTTGTGTGTTTATATACTAATTTTTTTATTATTTTCTTATTTATTAGGGTTTAATCAACACAAACATCGCTAAATGCTATATTGAACCTTTAAGGACTTCAAAACCTGAACCAATCAGTAAAGAATAACTTAAAATTTTGTCTAATCAACACTTCTTCTTCTTCTTCTTCTTCTTCTTCTTCTTCTTCTTTTCATATAACAAAAATAAGGGTTCAACCCTTATATTTTTAAAATTTTCTTTTTCTTCTTCTTTTTTTCTCATGAATATGTTGATTTTCTATACTTTAACATGAACTCTATACTATTCTTATGAAAATTATGAATAATCATTAAGGGAATATGGTTATGGTACCTTGGGAACTACATAGAATTTATGTTTTCTACATAAAAAAATCCATCGCCTAGGTGCTCGCTTAGGTGACTAGGTGACAAGGCCCCCTGTCGCCTAGCATTACCTTGGCGCATTGAAAACTATGGTTCTAAATGCTGTGAAATTAATTTTGTAAGTGATATATGCATCTTTCTTGCAACATTAATGATTAGAGGTATACCATAGGCAGTCATTAGAACCCCCTCAACTTCTCAAGTCACAGTAGCACCTCCAGATGCATTTGTTAATTCGGTTATTCCTACAAGTGCATAACTTGTTATTCTTGTATTATGTAACTAGATAGAGCATATATCAATTGAAGGATACAAGCATTATTATAATAGTGTAACTAGTAAAAGGATCCTAAGGGAAACC